GAAAATCCTTTCGACAATTTAATTACGTTGTTGAATTAAGACGTATAATCCAGGATGGCATTCTCCTTAATAATTTACAGAGGAATTAGAGTTGCCATTTTTTCCTAAATTTACAATCTCAAGCAACTCTTGAACATGTTATTAAATTTCAAAATGAATTTTGTGTCGAATTTCGTAAAGGAAAAAAATCTTTGTATTAATCAACGTCTGTTATCTCTTAAATTAATAAAAAACATGTTCACGCGTTCTCGAGTAACATTAAATACAGACATATTACATGAAAAACATTTCCGCTAACGTTGCGTTGAATGGCAGGGACGTACTCGCAGTGTGAACAGGTACGGATTTATTTTGCTACGCTTAATTGAACACATAAAGTAGAGTGTCCATGCAATTTCCAACGTTTATAACTCAACCATCTGAGTATGGCGGAGACTTAATTGCCTGTCGTAATATAATGATCACCGGCGTTATTTAATGTTACGATCTTTTCCTTTATTGAACACGAAATATAAGCTTCCATTTCAACATATTGTTTTAGCAGATTTACTCTACATTTATTCTTTTGTAAATTTTTCTCCGCTGTTTTCTGCGTTAAATTGATACCGCTTTCCTTTGCCTCTAGAGCCGAACCATTTAATTATGATTGGCCGACTCTTCGGAATCGGAATTTTTATTCTTATTTCACTCTTAAGTTGAAATCAATCTACACTTTAAGTGATTGCTTGAAAAGAAACTTAAAGAGACGGCAATTAGATTTGATTTTTGAATATCTTATAGTCACTTTTATGGTTATCATAATATTTATTGATAAAGTTTACAGAATTCAGTTGATACCAGTAACGCAATTGTTGTATATGTAACTTTATCAAATCGAAATTTCTAACTCATATCTGAATCATGAAAATGATTCATATAAGAGGACGAATATAGGAATCTTAACGTACTTTAATTGACCTCATAAAACAGCTGGTTCATACACTATTCATCGCTTCCTTCCCGGTAGAACGCTAGAACTTAATTGCCTGTCGTAATATTACTATTTGAAGTCGTTCGTGTGATGATGGTATTAAAATGTGTGTTATATTAGACAAAGTTTTCCTGACTGAATACGTGTTCAAGGAAATATTTTCGATGATAGTTTGAACAAAATCTTAGGCTTAGGTCCTTGCACTTTAAAATTCCTTTGTATGACTTGGAACTTCTGAATGCCTATCACGAATACCTGAGAACGTTTTCATTACGTTATCGACAAAATTAATGCAGCGCTCTTATCGGGAGTAAAAAACACTAACAAATCTTATAGAATTTTTTACATATTTTGACAATGACTTTCGAAAGTGCGTGTCGCAAATATTCGTGCTAGGCCTTGTGTTTATTATGCACCTCCTCCTTGTAATACGAAAAAGAATGCTAATAAACGTATAAGAATCTATTGTTATATTTGTCTGAAATATCGAATCAAAAATGTAAGTGAATGAAAAATTTCTTTAAAAATTAAATGTATATGATTTTATTGGCTTCAATTGCAACATTGGTGTTTCGCGTTATACCGCCAGCTGCCACGTTGTTTGAACGAACAGTATCCGGCCTCGTTCCATTGTCACTATAACTTTCTGCTTAGTTCTCATTGTTTTCTCTTAATAAAGCTCTTCACTATGACACTTTAATGCGACAGTTTATGTGACATTTTAAAGCCGTGGTTTATTGCAATGTGTGTTTCATTTTTATAGTTTTACAGAATATTATTCTTAACAGATTGTATTTAAAAAGAACTTAAATGGAACGATCTAATGAGAATATATGTGATAATACATTCGATATGCAAGCTGAGCTTTGTTTAATAAAATATTATGTAGATATTCTCCGTAGATATGTGCAGGTTGCATCACAATGTTTTCATTCACCGCTAGATCGTTGGAAAAATCCTAAGATGATACAATTTTCTTACCGTAGAATTCCACTGCTGTTATACTGTATTACATACTGTTTTCCTTTCATTCTCTTTGACAAAACAGGGACTGCAATCTGTATCAATCCAAATATCGCGGCAGTCGAATTCCACGGTTACATATATGGATTCAAAGTCCTTCAATTTTAAATCAACAATTTCAATCAATGCAAATAAATAGATTAAGTTCCGCAATAGTCAATAGTCACCTCAGTAGTTTCGCGTACTTTGATTTGTGGACATAATGGCTGGGCACCGGAGCGTGGCTAAGTTATTACACGCCTTTGATGGTTGTAAGCGTCAGTAACGTGAAATGCCTGAATGCGATTGCCAATTTATCTAGCGGTTAGGCCATTTGAGTCCTGCAGGAAGTGATTGAGCGGTTCGATATGGACGGCTTTAATCCAGTATTCGATTCTACAGGTTGTGTGACGATATACTAATACGTTTTAGTATCGATATTTATGATTTTAAGAAAGTCTTTGTTTTGTCTCTTCATTTAAGGGTAATCTTATCCTTATATATTTTTATAGAGATAATTTTTGTTTTTGTACTCCTTGCATCTTATTTTAAAGGATTTAAAATCTGATACACGTTAACAATTTATTAATTCAATCAGTTTTATTTCTTTTCTGCGCTAGCAATTCATTTTCTTTTTCTCAACTTTTCTTCTTGTACCCTTTATGAAAACTTAATCTTCTTTTGCGTTGTTTGAACAGATAGCACCCGCCTCTGCTCTGATTTCATTCTTTGTGTTCTGATATTTTATAAAAATACCTAGATTATTGCAAAGTTGTTTGTTTTTGTATATTAGAATTGATCATTTTCTTTTTTTTATTATCGTATCACTTTTGGTAATGTAGAGTTTTATAAATTTACCACATAAAAGTCGTGTGTCATCTGGTTTATTAGCAATTCCACTGTCAAAACATTTTACCAGAGCTTAGAGACAATGAGAGGGAAATCAATTTTGTTTGTATGTTTCAGCAATGAATTTGAAGCGTCAATAGCCTAATGGTCAAGGGTACGGATTTCCGATCACGTGGTCGGGGGTTCGAATCCCGTCATTCCATTATTGTCGTAAACCATATCCTAGCACAAGCTTAGAGCTTAGTTGGAATGGTAAAATAAATATTAGTAAATATACAAAAAATCTGCTAATATTAAAAAAAACCCACCGTAAAATGTACATTTATCAGATACTTGAACAAACTCATTATAATATAATTCCACGTTTACATTCGTATGTAAATACGAGTGGAGTTGTAAAGCGTTTCAGATTGGATATATAACTATAAATTGTATATATATACTTTTGTGTTTATTTGACAACTTATATGTTCCACACACATAAAAAGTCTACCATAATTCGTATGCTTCAGCAGTCGACGTTTACTTTATTTACCTTTTATGTAACCTTGGTATACGTGAATCGACAGTTTTCGTTTTGAATATAATTTACTTAACTTACTGAAGAGTTAGTGTGAGAAATCCTCACTAAGGGACAGTCTTTGTCTGCGAGAAATTAAAAAAAATCTAGTAATAAATATAAACTCTTACCCAGTGATAGTGTAGCTGTTTAATGCCAAAATAATTTTTGAAATCGCTCCAGTAGTTTTTGAATTTATACGCTACATACAAATATACAAATATTTCCTCTATATAATATTATAGTAGAGAAAGGGACATTCAAACTCTACATAAAATGAAAGCACTTATATTGTAGAACGGTACTGCATTGTTAAATTTTATACAATTCTAATTGAAGTCGTAAAAGAACCGGTTCATGCAATATTCAACGTTTCTGTATTGTAAAAAGGAACTCTTAGGAAGTCATAACTGAACGTTGTTATTGATGTACAATCTTCAACAAAGGTAACTAGCGTGCTTCGCAATCTATTACTAAGCAGTATTATATCGATGTCATTTTTCTCGTAGGCAATAAGCTACGCCTCATAGCAGAGACGTGCGACAGATATCGACTCATTTTATAAGTGAACTAGCTATCGCCCGCGATGCCGTCCGCGCGGATTAAAAAAAATAACATAAGTAGCCTATGTGTTCTTACAGTTTATTATCTATATGTATGCCAAATTTCATCGAGATCCATTCAGCCGTTCTAGAGATACCTTCAAATAAACATCCATCCATCCTTCCATCCATTCGCATTTATAATATTAGTAAGATTTAAAAGTAAATCTAACGAGACGTTAAGATTATATGAGAACTTTAAACAGGACAAAAACCCTAGAAATAAATTTGTTATCATTTTGACATAATACCCCGAAGAATATTTAACTAACTGCATATTTTCAAGAAAAATACAATAAGGATTGAAAAATTATAGATATTAAAATTGATGGCTTGGGATTCAGATGCAATTTTGAAAATCGACTTCTATTAGTGTGCTCTTCAGTATTCTAATAAAAATTATACGTATAACGATCCTCATTTAGATGTCAGCTTTAAAAGAAGTTATGCATTTAAATGTTGTGTAATCACTAAGTATTTGGAACTTTTTTTCTAGACTTGATATTTTAAACACTTACCGTAGGTTTCTAAGACCAAAAACCCCGTTTAAAATATGTTTATATCTCTGTTTTGTCAAAGATGATGAAAGGGATTACTATATGTTTTCAAAGATTTTGGTCTCAGAAAACCACAGTTAATCCTTTCATTTTGTATGAAATCTTTTCTGAAACATTTTCTTTTTCTGCATTAAAGTCATTTCGTATGTAGGTCATTAGCAGAAACACAGGCTCGTTATCGTGTGTACTCCTAGCTCCTAGCAGCGCTCGTTTGAGATAAGCCGGGAACGTTAAATACGTGCCTCTTGCGGCTTACGGCCCATCAGTGTTTTTGTATCACAAAGAAAACGGCTACACTACATCGTAGCAATATTTAATCAAGTATAATCTGTAGCTTGATTTTCTAATAGTTTGTTTAAGACATTTTCAACTCCCCCGAGATAAATTATACATTGTTTATTGAAATTAGAAAATGTTATGTACTTTTAAAATTAACCCTAAATAAATCCGTTTTGTTTCAGATGTTTGGAATAAAATGGCGCTGTATTTGCAGTAAATGATTAAAGGTAATATTTTGTTAATTTTCCTTCTTGTGGGGTTCCGGCTCTCGAAAGGAAAAAAACGGAACCCTTATAGGATCACTTTATTGTCCGTCCGTCTGTCTGACAAGACCCTTTTCGTATTAAGTTACCAATGGCAAAATACTATATTGTTAACCAAAAATTTAAAAATTATAATACACATATTTAAAAACTAGTCTTAATCAAATTGTTTAGCTATGTTTTTCGGTCATTAATTGAATGTTTTGAATAAAAATTGTATCGAATTTTATTTAAGTATTTTCTAAACATCAATCACAAAGCACAGTAGCATTCATTTAAAACGAGCTGCCGTAAATTTAAAGCGAATGAAAATCACCTCACCTTACTTTAATAGAATTGAACCTTGAAGTTATTTACACTTATATATTTCTTTATTTAAATAAATAAATATCGATTGATACAGTTGACAAAAAAAAAACTGTAGTAAAAATGAATTAAGATTAGTATTATGCACACTATACAAATTCAACACGTGTTTCAAATGGATCATATTCATTACCATATTTAAATCAATTAATAACAGTAGCTTGTTAACAAAGGAAAATTATAATATGTGTTAGCTAGGTATCAGAGTAAGTTGCTTTGTAGCGACCAACAGAGCTTTGTCGGGTCCGGGCATCGCTTTATCTTATTACACGTGTCACTTGTCCGACGTCTGTCCCCGTTACCTCCTACCTAATGTACCACGTCTTTTACAATGTCACTTTCTTTAAACACCTTCATAAACTATAATAAAATTCATAAAAGCGAATACAACAAGCAAAGCTTTCAAATTGATATCAAATTAAAGATAAGAACTTAAAAGTTTTCGTAATTAAGTCTTTGTCTATTCTTTAGTGTAGATTTTCCTTACTACACTAAGGGGACCACTCAACGACTTTCTTCGTAATCTGATATTTTCTGTGGCAGAAATAATCATTTGCTAAAATGATTTTATCTAGTTACTTATAAACAGGCACAAACACTTTATTAATTATGACGTCATGTCTACAGGACGTCATAATTAATACTGGCAGTTAGTACCACCACTTAATTCCGGAATAGTACTGCAGACTGAAATTAACTTTAATAATTAATTAGTGGACACTTACCGTTGTAAATTATGTACATATTACCTGGCTAAATACTAAGTTTCATCATCTAAAACATCACTATAAATATAGTTGCTTATTAGCATATACTTATTTAGTCACGCGACGCCCATTGCTAGGCATAAGCCTTCCTCAAAAGATCAATACGATGTTCGGTTTTGTGCTACCCGCATCCAGGATACCCCCGATTGTATTTCATTGAATATATTGTATACTAACTGTCGCCCGCGACTCCATCCACGCGGGATTAAAAAAAGGATCCTAAAGAGTTTTCCCGGTAATTATTCGAATTTTTCTCACCTTTTAAACCTTCCCTAGACCTCCACGAACATTTCAAGACCAAGATAAGATAAATCCGTTCAGGAATAAATAAAACTGGTCGTATATTTGATATTGAGGCCACTTTTCCTTGCTATCCTTTTCCAATGATTACCTTGGTTTCACTGCGGCATGTAATATCTTCTTGTAATTAAAAAAATGCACGCATTAAATGAGTTCTTGGCCATGGTTGCGACGCAAGGGAAGGTTGCATCCGAGCCGGCTTGCATTGTCTCATATTTTCTGTTATTGTTTGGTTAGCGCTGTTTTTATTAAAAAGAAACTCCCATTCGGTGCTTTTAATATCTTATCCTCGTGCAATATTAATGTTTTCTTGTTACACTTTTCTATAATGGAATGTACGAGACATGCATTAATGCAGAACGATTCGATACGACAATTTAATCGATTTCATTTATTTAACTAATATTATAAATGGAAATGTTTAGATGTATGGAATGGATGTTTGTTTGAAGGTATCTCCAGAACAGATCAACGTTTTTTGACTAAATTTGTCACGGATATAAAACGTAATCTAGAAAAACACATAGTGAAATAATTAAGTATATTACTCCGTGAGGACAGAGTTGCGGGCGACATCTATTAGACTAAGTTATCGTGATAAAAAAGTATATGATATAATAAGAGACAAATAGCCAATTACTATTTATTCTTTGAAATTTGACTTTTCTGCGACATTTATAGGAATTTATTCGGCATAAAACGCGATGTGCGGGTCAGGTAAGGTCGCTACGGCTACGAACTGTATTGTTCACGGCGTCCGACGGAGTGTAGAGGGCGCTTTGTTTGCTTCCAACCCGAACCCGACGTCATGTTATCTTATTACACGTGTCATTTGCGGCACAACCAACCGGTCAGACACCATTGTACTGTTGAAAGGAGTACACGCGCAGTTTTTATGATAAAGTAATTCATTGTATTATAGCGTCGTTTTGTAAAAGGCGGAAAGAATACTAACGAAGCCTAGAAATTCGTTTCCTTAAATTGAATGAAAAAGTATAGGAATATTCATATATGAAAGTGTGATATAAAAATAATCTAGAACGGGCACTTAAATACATTGCAGAAAAGTTACAAAACTTGCGAAATCAAAAGCTCTCTAGGGAAGTCTTGAATGACGCGAGGCTATGATATCGACCTATTTAAGGGTGAAACGTTACGACCCATTTATAAAATATAAATACAGTACTCGTATCTTTTTTATGTATTTTTTCTTAATTAAACAGTTTATTGGAATAATAATATTTTTAATCCAAATTTCAGCACAGATATTACTTCCACAATGACCATAACTTTAATTTTGATACTCCAAAAGGTTTTTATGGCGGCACTAAATTTCCTTTGTGACCGGTCCTTACCCATGTTTTACGAGAAACTTAATTTCCTATAAAATTTTAGTCTCTATTGTGTTATTTTTAGAAATAACCGTCCGTTTAGAAAGAGAATAACGTTTATAACATGTTTTCTAAATTGTTGAAAACGTAATATCGGTAAATACTTGCATATCAATAAGTTCGAGTTAGCATCTTAGTAGAGGTCTATCCATAAAAGTTATATATGTTAGGAAGAAAATCCGAAAATGTGGCAGTGTATTGACCCAACACTAGCCTTACTAAAATGTCGACGTTTGTGTCCCCTCACTATTCATTCTGGAACTGGACTTTGTAACGAAAGCACGTCCTTCGCGCCAAGTGGTTCTAACTAATAATGTCTAAAAATACTTTTATTAGACATTTAAACCCAAACGGGTTTAGTAAACAAATTGTTACTTATAATTGTGAGAATCGAAACCTAAGCTTCATAATATCTGGAGTTCTCTTACTGCGGACTCCCTAAAGATTTTAGTCCTGTTGAATATTTAAATCTAGACGCATGTGTAAATAAGTTTTAAGCCTTTAGAGATATTAGCATAAGAGTATCCAGTGTTTCTGTTTGTTCATCGGGCTGTTTTATACGATGTGTATAAATGTAACTCACACAAGTTCACAATGCCGTTTAGATAAAGATTTACGTTAACATTCATCAAGCTCTTTATTTGTGTTTCCCTTCTTAACTGTATGTCATTGTGTCCTTAAAGATTTATAACTACTTAGAGACGTATGTGGATGGTACGATGAAAGTGGTTTTTTAACTCAGACATAAATTACATTTCTGATGTCTATATTAAATTGTTTTTGTTGTTTTACATATTTTTAATTAAAAAATAAAATATATTTTCTATGTATTTTATAGGATTTTTTAATACTAACTCTGAATATGTAAATAAAGGCCATGCTCTGAATATAAATTAATTTCTTTCAGTCATGTTGTTGTGCGTAATAATTATTAAATTTCATCAATTACAAATTAGGTCTGACTATTTTAAAATTAATCGAATAAATTTTGTTACTTTAACACTTCTTTATAAGCGGGTCACAAAAATTGATTAAGTGAAAAAGGGACAAAAAGCCGGCGGCAAACAATGTGTTAACTGAACTTCGCTGAGTTTTAACACATTTTTTATCTACATCCATGTAATATGTTACTTTAGTAGAATTTCTCGACATCTTTGACGTTCACACAATTCTTAACAATATTAAAAATATATAAAACTGAAAAGTATAGAAGTATAAACTTCTTTCATCTAAAAATCGTCTAATAAAAAAACCAAGGGAGCATTTTCCCTGTTTTTGTTCCATGACGTGAGCCGTCACCTTTCGCATGCAGGTCATTAACAAAAAGATAACGACGATATTGTGCGACTTCCCCGCGCCAGCCTCGTTACAGATAAGCCGGGAACGTTAAATATGTGCCTCTTGCGACGTGCGCCCTCGCGATACCGAACAATACTCAACATTACGTCGTATACATAGCTTTCATTCATTTAAAAAGTTTATTAAAATAAGTATTTCGTGATGCGAAAGTGATATCGATAATCGAAAGTATCGATATTTGAAAATCAATGAAAATCGAAAATGTCCGAATGATTTTTTTTTCATTTTATGGATTTCAAAATTTCAATTTCTTGTCGTACATATAACGTGGCACCCAATTACTAGTAACCTGGCGGAATCGGGAATACGGCGAAATTTTATCTTACTTATATTTTCTAGTCTTTTTTACTTAACGGCGTAGTTTGATTTTATAATTAGCGATGGCATTGTTAAAATATATAATTTAAAAACTAGGTTGAGTAACAAAAAAAAAACACTGTCCGATAAAATCAATCGGAGTTTTTTTTTAATAAATAAAATGTTCTGTGCACAATTTAAAAATTGCACCATCTGGCTGATTGAATGATTTTAGTATAACGAGTGTAACCATGCGTATTAGTACAAAATCCCGTGTTAGATTGTATTGGATGCAGTAACGAATGCATTTTTATCTGCACACAGGTTGCACAACTCGCAGCTGTTATTACACTTTTATGTTGCATATGTGTGTTTATCACTGGCTCAATTTGTTCATAGTAAATGAAATTCCTGAATTTATTTCTTCTATATAAAGCCAGTGGTAAATTGTTTTTTTTTTTAATTTTTACTGTAGCTCATCAAC